GGGACTGGAGCCTCGGAGCGAGCGGTACCCTGTCTCCTGTCCCCAACCCCAGCCCATGGTGGGGAGGACGGTGCAGGTCCAGCCCAAGCGTACAGGACAGGTCCAGGCGGGGATGGAGGGTGCAGGACATGGGGTGGCCGGTCCTGTTCCTTCCTGGGCCGGTTTCGCACCGAGAGACTTGTCGCGTGTCTCAGTTTCTCCATCAGGTTGGGGGGCTGGTATTACCCCCCGTTCTGGGGGGAAGCTGCCCCCGCCTACGGTGGTGGGAAGCTGGGGCTAGGGACGCCTTTGCCGTCGCAGGGATGAGTGAAGAGCGGCAGGGGTGGCAGCGGGGTGAGCCGGGCACTGCGCTCCCCTTGCCCTGTGCTTGCTTGGGGCAGTTCTTGAGCCCGTGCTGTGTTGGCCAGGTGCTGGGACCATGGCCAACATCTCACCTGGTCCTGTGGGAGCACTGAACCGCAGCCACCCCTGGGTGCTGCAGCCCAAGCCCTGCCAGGGAGCAAGGCGAGAGGAGACCGGGAGTTACACCGGGGCGAAGCGGAGCTTCCCTCCTCCTGCCTCGCTGCCAGGCCTCCATCCCTGCTTGGTGTGGTGACGGAGAAACATCATAGACCTACACAAAGCCCCTCTTCTCCCCAAACTGGAGATTGTTGACCCCCCCTTTGCTGGTATCATCCAGCCCCAGGACCTAGCGGTGCTGGCACCCTTGAGCACCGGGTTGTGTCGATGGTGGCTGGATCCAGGCCGGCACGAGCACGGCTCGGGGGGCACCAGGTCTGGCCATCCCACCCTCTCGCCATCCCTTTGTGGCGGGAGAGGAGGTGGCAGGGGGCCATCCCACGGTCTGAGTCCCAGCCCACGCCGGCTCTGGGCACAGGGGGATGTGGGCGACGGGCAGGGGTATGTCCGCAGCCAGCTGGTGGCACTGGCTGGGGCTTGTGCAGGAGAGACACCCCAGCCGCGGGGCTGGGAGAGCCCCATCTGGCTCAGTTGCGTTTGCTGACCATCTGCCGGTCCCTCTTCTTCTTCTCCATCAACCTGGTGCGGTGTGGAGAGGTCACGTTAGTGACCCCTCTGCTGGCTGCAGGGGCCAGACTAGGGGCTGAGGGCAAGGGCGAGCACCCGGGGCCGGTGTGGAGGGAGGACTCACTTGCGGTTGCGCACTTCGGTGAGCTCCATGAGACGCTCCTGGGCTGCCCGCAGCTCATCGAGGCGCTGCTGGTAGCGGGAGTCACAGTTGTTGGTGCGCTCATAGCTGGAGACCTGGCTGGAGAGCTCACTGGCGCGGTCGCGCAGCTGCTGGATGGATGAGTACAGGTTCTCCTCATCTTCCTCCTGCTCCGACACAAGGACACAAGGTTCGTGGAGCTGGTATGGGCACCCAGGGCCTCGCTCTCCCCTTCCAGGAGGGGAAACAGAGGCACGAGGTTGGATACCGTGTCGCACAGGAAGCTCCAGTGCGGAAGTGAGCCAGTGAGGGAGCAGAGGGGATGTGGAGGGCCAAGGGGATGTCGCAGGGCACAAGTGAGTCCCCATGGGCCACCAACCTTGGCATTGATGATCTCAATGTGGATGAGGAGAGCGGCGAGCTCCAGGTCCTCTGTGTAGCTATTTTTCAGCGGCACCGAGCGATAACCTGGACATGACGTTGCAGTTGTTGTGACACGGTGGCATGGGCATTGCTATGGGTCACGAGCACATCGCCGTCCCCAGAGCTGGCCCCCAAGGGGCTGAATTTCAGGTGGACCCACCGAGCAGGGATGGAGGGAGCGTACCTGTTTTGAGGCCCTTGACAGGGAAGGTGGCTTGTGCCAAAAAGTTGGGGTCGCTGAACATGTCCTCCTCGTACACCACAAAGCGCAGGAAGGCGAACTCAGGGTTGTTGATGTCAAAGACGAACTGCTTGAAGAGCCACACAGGGTTGAAACCGTTGTCAGCTGGCAGGTGAGGACAGAGCGGGCAGGGATCAGAGCACGGAGCTGGGCTGGGTGCCCGGATGGTGCACGGCACAGCCCCAGCACTGCACTGGCATGGTACTGCTGGAGTTCGTGTGGTGGCACATGATCTGGGCTCCCCTGGCTGCTCACTGTTAGTGGGAGATGCCTTTTCCCCTCTGTCCGCTGGAAACCCTAGCCCCGTTAAACCACATTTCCAAGCTGGGACCCCAAAAGGCAGGTTTAGGGGTATCGGCTCCCCAGAGCCGCAGGGCAGGGGCTCTCCAGACATCCCAGTCGTTACCAGTGCCAAGGCGTGAGGGGAGCCTGCTGTCTCCCTCCTGGTCCCAGGATGCAAGGACCCACTGGGTGCATCACCTCCGCAGACCCTCACCTACAACATCCGTCTTGTTCTTGCTATTGTCGTACTCGGAGCCACACACCTCCACCTCCACGAAGGGGCACACGATGCTTCTCCCATTCTTGGGCAGGTGTCGGGCACCAAGGATCTAGGGGAGGAGGAAGAAGAGGAGGAGGAGGAGGAGGAGGCTGAGGTCTAGCTGCCCTGGTCCTGCAGGCTAGGAAGGACTCCCGGGGTAGCCCTGTGACTCAATGCTTTAGGGCCATAATTAGCCTCACCAGGCCTTCTCAGGCTTGTATATGAATTTGGACTGATTTTAGCTATGTCTGCAAAATTATTTACAAAACTTGTTTTCTCCATGACTTGCTCAAGGGTCGGATGACTATGGACTAGCCTGTCCTAGCTGTAACAGTAAAATTACCCAAAAGCGGGGTAATGTGGCTCTGAGCTTGTTTCAGCTATTTTATTCTCCAACTTGCTCTCGCTCAGGTTTTGCTCAGCTCCGTGCGATGCCGCATGCGGAGAAAAACAAACAGACCTAAGAGGTCGCGGTATGACCAATCCCATGGAGCAATGGCAGAGGTCAGAGCATATCCCACTAGAAAATATGGGGCTGAAACATGTAAAAATCACCCCCAATGGACTCAAGACTGAAGAAGAAGAAAGCCCCCCATCAGCATGCTACCACTGATGGTGAACACCTCGGGATACTGGTGAGTCTCAGTTCTCTACTCGTCCTCCCCCACACCACCAGCCCCCACATGCCTGCAGTTGCACTGTGATAGGCTCCACGATCTTCAGGCTGTTCTTGTCGAAGGGGTCAAACGTCTCGTCCCTCATGATGTCGGGCTGCAGAACGTAGCCGCTGTGGCCTCCGAGCATGAACAGCGCCTGGTTCAGCTGCATCGGCTTGTCTGCCAGCCATGGGGACAGAGCAGCTCTGAGCCACGGGGCTCAGAGCTGGGAAGGTCGCTGGGAGGAAGGTCCTGCCCTGGGCAACCCCCCCAAAAAGAGCCCCCAACCCCAGGTGGGAGAAGGGGTGCGGCCGGGTATCCCATGAAGCACCCGAGCATTGAGCAGGGATTTCCCCGTCAGGAAGAGGATGAGGGTTGGATAGAGCATCCAAGCCACATTCAGCAGTGGGATCGAGTGGGACAACCACCAGCGATGGGGAAAATGGGATGATCCGCAGGGGTGAGCCCACCAGCCACCCTGGGAGCAGAATTTACCAGGGGTCTGGAAGTTGAGCGCTACAAGCTGGCTGCCACAGATCCACATGGGCAGTGGGTCATAGTTGGAGGAATCCAAGCGCTGGCCTTTAGGGTAGATGCGGCTGAGCTGGCGCCGGTTGTACTGCAGGAACTTCTTGCCCTTGCTGCGGTTGGCGTACTTCTCCGCTTTGGTCTCCGGGAAGGAGGACATGTCCCGGTAACATGCCTTGTCTGTGCCGATCTCTGAAAGTGCAAAGGGCAGCTGTCAGCAGGAGGCTGCAGACCTCTCAGGCTGGACCAGTGGCCTGGGGCTCGTCAGCTTCTGCCCCTGGGACATGTGGGGGCAGTGGTGAGGCAGGAGCTGAAAGAGGATGCCCCACAGACCCTCTGTGATTGCTGCTGCCCCGGTCTTTCCCTGATGCACTCCCTGGCTCTTACTGTCTTCATCGAACGGCACTGGGCGGCAATAAACGACGAGTTCGGAGAGCTCCAGTGCAATCTTCTTCCTCCGCTCCATGATCTTCCCCTCTTGCATCTGCACAAGGGAAAATAGGAACTAAAACTCTTGCCCTGGTGTGCCCAGGCCTCCTCCCAGGCTCCCACTGTGAAGATGCTCTGCAGATGACGGTGCAGGACCATCCACCAAAATGCAACCCTTATTTTGCCCCATGCTCTGCAGAGACATCGAGGATCAGCACTCAGGATCCCCTCCTGCCTAGTAAAATTTGGAGGGGCTGCACTGAAAGGCAAGGCAGCATCAACTGGCTTTGCACCCAGGATTTCACCCCTTGCCGCAGCCAGAGCCAACTCAGTGGGATGCAGGCATGTGGGATGCAAGGCTCGTGCCCTCCCATGGGAGGGCTGAGCCTCCTCTCTCCCTGCCGGGGGAGTGGGTGGGGCTCAGCCTCTCCAGGTCCAGTGGCACGTGGAGTGTTGCCTGGCCCGTGGCGCCCCTCACCCTGGCATCGGCGTTCTGCGTGGCCTCACGGATCTTGGCCACCCACTCGCTGAGCTCCTCCTGAGTGTCCGCGGCCACGTCCAGTGACTGGGCTGCGTGGGACATCTGCTGGGAATGGATGGTGAAGACAAATGGTTTGGAGCTCCTCCCGTCTTTGGAGATAACTATAAGGACATCAGAGGGGGCTTTACTTGAAGAGATTCCCAATGGATGGCTCTGTGGAGCAAACGAAACCTCAGCGGTCCTGCTTGGCCCACGGCAAAGTGTGGGATAGGAGCACGCTGGGGACCGCAGGTTCCCCGAGTGCACCCCCGGCACCCCTGCTGATGCCTGGCTCAGCCTCTCTTGCCTGCTCTAGTCCTGCAGCTGTGTTTTGGGGGTGCCGGATGGGCACAGACATTTGCCAGGGTCAAATCTTCACCGGGGGTGCAGGGGGGAGTGTGCCAATCCAGTCTCGCCTGCTGCGGTGCCACCCGCAATGCAGACCACAGCAGGGACAGAGGGTCTGTGACTGTCAGCATGCCCTTCCTGCGCCCTCCTGTCAGCCACTGGCAGGCTGTAGGGATCTACCCCCTTGAAACTAGAAATCACCAAGAACTTCAGTTTGGGAGAGGGGATCTGAACTTCCCCCTGAACTCCAGTCAACCCCTGAAAAAAACCCTGGAAATAAAAGCAGCAACCAGAAACGTCTTGTCCTGTTCTGCTGTTTTCATAATGAAAAGTTTCAGCTTTTGCATTGAAATGCATTTTTCCTTTGAGCTGGTTTGTCTTGCAGGCGCTAAATATCCCCCAAACTGAACCAAAAACCATTTGGACCTTGCAGAATGGGTCTCTTTGGCTGATTCCTTCCAAATTCAGCCCTGTGTTGCCCGTGTCGAGCCCAAGGCTGCTTCCCTCCCCCCAGCTGGAAGGAGGGCAGTGACATTTCCTCCTCTCCCAGCCACAGCCTTTGCTCAGCTTGGCCAGAGCATCTGCGACCTGGGAGCTGATGGTATCCACCAGAAAGCAGGTCAGCAGCACTTCTGCAGCTGGCTGGACCCAGATGTGCGATGAGTTTCAAGAGCCTCAGCTCATTGCAATGAACTTTAGCTTTCCCTGGACACTCCTGCTCCCTCCATGGGGACAGAGCGGAGACACTTACCTACGTGGCAGGACGGCACGTCGATGAAGCCCTTCAGGAAGTTCCCTAGGGGGCTGTTTTCCGACGACTGCAAGAGAGGAAGGAAGAGGGAGCGGTGAAAGGTCATCGCATGGAGCCCATCGCTAACTGATTTTGTTCTGCTTGCTTTGGCAGCCTCCCCCATCCCAAAGTCTCGCCCAGCTTTGCCAAGTCTCAGCAAAAGTCAAGAAAACACCTTCTCCCCATTCAAACACAGCAGCCCTCATGGACAAGGGCTGAACCTCTCCACGGGCTCTGCTCTGTGTCCAGAGGTGGGAGCATTCCCTGGGCTCTGGACAAGGGTTCGCACTCGAGTGGACTTGACTCCAGGCATGCGCATGGAGCCAGCGTGGGGACATCCCACTCACAGCTTCATCCTGCTCCTGTGCCTGCGTGTTCACAATCTCCTCCACGTAGTTGGCTGGGAACCACAGCTGCTTCTTGCCTCCATAGTCCCCCCGCCACCTAGAAGGGGTGAGAGGATCAAGGCGAGCGGACCAATTTGGGGGGGACGGGGGTGTTAATACTGCATGCAATGTCAGGGAACATTTGGAGAGGGGAGGGACAGAAAAGGAGGCAGTTAAAACCTGTCACAGTAAGACCCACCACCTGTGCCGCTGCTGCGGTGTGGGGCAGTCCCTCCAGCCCTCACACCCTAGTGGGTTTTAGCGAGAGGACCCCAGAAGCTCGGCATGCCATTGGAGCTGCTATCCCAGAACTTTTGCCCTGGCGCAGCTCAGGGTGAACTGCATCTCCCAGCCTAAGGCATCCTGCAAACAGTGGCACCAGCCCCATCCCACAGCAGCATCTCTGCTCTGCTTCCTGCGCACCCGGTGGGGAACGTGGGGGGCTACCTGATACCTGTGCCCACTTGGTGGCCAGCAAAACCCCATGACAGGAGGCTCCCACCAGCCCTGGGCTTGCCAACACTGGGATGCAATGGCACTAGACATGGGGGCTGCCCGGGGCTGCGGGGACTGTGCTTACCAGCCACCGTCCTGCTTGTCCACATTATGGATGATGGCCTGCTTGCAGAACGACAGCTCATCCTCCCGCTGGGCTTTGTAGTCATAGAGGGCCTTCACTGTGCACTGGGTCACCCGGGAGAGAAACATGGGTGTCACCGCCTGTGCCTCAAGTGTCCCTGGCTTGGGGACACTGCCTAGGGCTGGTGGCAGTGCTCCCTGCTGAGCCCTGCTCCTTGAGCCCTGACGTTTGCACATGGGTACCCTTGCTATGTAGGGTGAATGTTCCCGGATCCAAACGTTGCTCCAAAATAGTCCACGCCAATAGTGAGATGTTAGATGGGGTAAAGGGCTGGGAGCACCTGCATTCCCATGCGGTGCCCTCAGAGAGAGCAGCGCAGCAGGGCCATGGGGGCTTCTCTGGGAAGCCCCACGTGTCTGCTGCACCTCTAGCCTCATGGTGGAGGGGAGCAGGGCCATGTCCCACGAGCTCCTGGGTCCAGCTCGGTGTTGGGATCCATAGCACATGCTGAAGAGCTCCCTTGCCACTGACAGCAGCCTGAGCAATTGCTCTGGGAACAGGTCTGACAGTCAGCATCACTGCTGGGTACCTACTCTGCAGTTAACACATTTGGCTGTACCAGTGTAAAGTAGGTTCTACTTTTAAGTTCCCGAATGGTGAATGGTTTCTCTTGTTGCACTGAAGGGATTTATCTTGAGAAATTCCTGGAAAAAAACTCCTTGGGTTAAGCCTTCCCATGTTTGGTCTTAGCCTGAGAGCTAGTCTGCTGCAAAGGGAAGTTTAAAGTACAGCAGCACAGGAATGTAGGATCATATGATGACAGGATAATTCAGGTTGGAAGGGACCTCGGGAGGGCTCAAGTCCAACGTCCTGCTCAAAGAAGGGTCAGCTCTGAGATCGGCACAGCTCGCTCAGGGCTTTATCCGGTCTGTGCTGGGCAAAAGCACTTAGGCCAAACAATTTTGTGCCACATGGGCTCCCAAAGTAAGAAAGATGCTATGGCAAAGCAGTGAAATGTCGCAGATTTTCAGGCCTATGGGTCTGGGGGGATGCCAGCGAGCCGCAGCCCCACTGCCAGAATCACCATGTCCCACTGCTCTGCACCTCCTGGGGACGCTGGTCTGGCCTCTTACCCTGGCCATTGGCATCTTGTTGGCCTCCACGTAGAAGTGAGGGGTCCGCACCTCATACAGGGCTCCGTAGTCCAGCTCCTGCAAGGAGAGATGCCAGAGTGGGGTCACCTGGCCGCTCAGTTGGCAGGACGGACAGGGGACTACAAGGGGACACTGCTGCATCCAGCTGAGGGGCAGCTAATAGCCCTTTCCAAATAATTGGAGGGGAATTACAGAGATGACAGAGACCAGCTCTCTGTGGTTGGGGCAGATGATACAACCTGGAGCAATAGCTCTATACTGCAGCTCGGCCAGGTCAGGTTGGACTTGCAGCAAATCTCCTTTGCCAGGAGGGAGCTGCAGCCTGGGGAAGGGTCCCCAGAGTGGGGATCTCCATCCCTGAGGTTTCCAAGCCTCGACATAGCTGCCCTGGTGCAGCATTGGCAACAGCTGGAGCAGAGACCTTCCCACCCCAGAGAAGCTAGTGATGGGACTGGATTGCCTGCTGCACAGTACCCATGCTACACAGACTCAGCCGGCTCGCCGTAAGAGTTTGCGCAGCCCTGCTGAGGCCTGGAGCTGCCATCCCTGCTGCTGGGAGCACTCACGGTGGTGCCCATCTTCTCCAGGGTCTCCTCGTTGATGGGGTAGCGCAGCTTCATCTTACGGTAGAGTGGGTGCTTCTCGTAGTAGCTCACGAGGTCCACGAGGCTCTCGAACTCGGCTGAGCTACCCAGCATGAAGAGCCGACCTTCCTGCTGGATGCGGCAGTGCTTGATCTTCCCCTCTGCCCTGGTGCCAAGAGAGCCGGGGGAGACGTGAGGAGTGATGCAGGACCCTGGCTCACTGGGGCCACAGCGATAGGGGAGGACTGGGCTGGAGTGGGAGGCGACACAATCACCCTCTCCTTGCTGCCAGCCCTGCTCCAGTGGTAAATTAATGCAGGATACTGCCAGGATGGCAGCAGGTTGCAGGAAATGTGGCTGACCACTGTGAAAATGCACCTTTACCACTACTGAAGCCAGGGGATCCCTCTCCTGACAGCCTCGCACCTCTTGCAGCCCCGACTTATGCCAAGTGACCCACAAGATGTCCCAGGAGCAACGACACCAATCCTCCCTCCTGATCTAGAG